AATTGCACTAACTTAAATTGACACAGCTCGCCAGCAATAACTCCAAATTTTATAAAATAAAGTATATAAAATAGCCGAAAGATCGTGATTTCGAAAGAATGCAAGTATAAATGTCTAACTTTCATATTCGCTTTCAAATTTACACTTTATGTGAGGACTCCGTTTTTATTGATACACCCTATATATATATATATATATATATATATATATATATATATATATATATATATATATATATATATATATATATATATATATATATATATATATATATATTGAATACATATGTACCACTGGGATTAAATTTGAGGGGGGAATATTAATGCAAGTCTATATATATTATTAGTGTATGTTAATTAGGATTGGGCCAAAAGTATTTAAGGACATGAATTTGAACTTATCTCGTTTCTGACGAAGGGGCTGTGCCCCGAAACGTATCTTTATCTTTACAACATGTATTTATATATATATATATATATATATATATATATATATATATATATATATATACTATATATATATATATATATATATATATATATATATATATATATATATATATATATATATATATATATATATATATATATATTTTATATATATATATATATATATATATATATATATATATATATATATATATATATATATATATATATATATATATATATATATATATATATATATATATTTATCAGTTATAGACCTGAAACGAGGGGTATTCCACAAAAAATTACCGCTGAGGGATGAAATATCCCGAGGGCGAAGCCCGAGGAATATTTCATCCCGCAGGGTAATTTTTTGTGGAATACGGGCCCCGAGTGAAAGGTCTATAAATGGTATATTATACCGAACCTTTCAAAAATAAGTAGAAAACAAATACCATTCAATTAACTTTTAATTTCAAAACACAACTTTTGATAACTTTACATTTAAAAAAGTCGAATTTCCCGCTCAAGCGTGGTATTCGAAGTCGAATACCATGGCCCCGGGTAAAACACCCAGGGTTCAAATTGCCTAGGTCATAGTATTCGCTGAAAAATACCATGGTCATGTGGTACAAATTTAGTTCTCTGATTGGACAAGCTCATTGTGAGGTATAATATATATATATATATATATATATATATATATATATATATATATATATATATATATATATATATATATATATATATATATATATATATATATATATATATATATATATATATATATATATATATATATATATATATATATAGATTGTCTATATCTTAAAATTAAGTATCGCTACTCTGAGTTTCACGTCCTATATATAGCTTATATATATATATATATACACTAACCCTAACTTTTTAAACTTTTTTGTTTTTTAAAACTCTTTTAAAACTTTTCTAAAACTTTTTTAAAAACTTGAAATAAGTTGCTTGATTGAAGGGGTTATCCAAGGTTTGTCGGTGTGATGTAATTTCACTGTCTTTAGTGGGAAGATGTTATTAAGAGCATTGGTCACTTGTGATAAAAAAGAGATAACCAATTCATCCGTCCCTGGATTATCACTGAGTTCGTCAAACCGATTTTTTGAGCATGCCCAACGTCCGAAAACCTCTATTCCGGACCGGAGATAACGTCTCACCAAGTGCTTTATGCCTTTATGGACTTAGGTTTTGAGGTCAGAGTATTTATGGCATCCTTAGTATGAGGTAGCCAGGGTAAGCGTTCGGCACGAAGCCAAAGTCACAAATACTCGAAGCTTGGACTCTCCAAGTCCAGCCTTTATTGGTAGGGAATATTTTCCGACAAATAAACACAAACACCACCTCCACGTGCGTGAGATCGATCATTACGATAAATTTTATAACCATCAAGTGCTATAAGGTCATCAGAGATATCCTCGTATAACCACGATTCAGTAATAGCAATGATATCTGCAGGGTTGCTAAATAAATGCGCTTGCAGTTCGTCAACTTTCGAAAAAAGTGAACGTGTATTAATAAGATAGTAGCTCGGAAGCCAGGAAAAATTACAATTATTGTAAATAAAAACGCTTGGAGTTCGTCAACTTTCGAAAAAAGCGAACGTGTATTCAAATAAGGTAGTAGCTTGGAACCCAGGAAAAATTACAATTATAGTATGTTAATATTACAAAACTCTCTTTTGAGATCCGCAAATATCTCGCAAGTGATATATCCTTTTAAATAGACACTTCTCTTCACATTTAAATTCTATTTACATTTTAGATCGAACCAGCAACAGGCTAGCAGGCTCAAGAAATGATTTGTGGATTAAAAGGCTTGATAAGAAAGGCACGAAAATCACTATATTTTCCGGTGAAGCGGTCTTCAATTTTAGCGTTGTTCTTACTAACTTTCCTCTCAACAATATTTTTTTTCTTTGCTTATTTAAACCATTTTCGTATGAAAATTTGGTTAGTGCCAGTAATTGTGCAAAGCGCACGAAAGAATAACGAACATTCATATGCACCTTCAACAGCTGGGCGAGTTGCACCCTCTGTTACAGTTAAAATCTCAAAAAAGGTACAAAAATCCGACCAAAATACTAACAAAATTAGAGATGAAGTGAACAACAATTCATTAACAATCGAAACCGAGTTTAAAAAGCAATGGCTTAGAATACAAAAACGACGAATAGATTGGAAACAAATTCTCGCACCTTGTGCAAATAATACAGTGCTTGATCAAACATTGCCAGGATGGGGGAAAGAAAACGAGACAGCGCTTAACACAAGCTATGTGGAATATATCGATGTCCGTCCAGCTGGACAGTTCTCTAGATTTTTTATACGAACAAAAACAAATGATGGTCGAAATAAAACGATTGGAGGAGATTTTTGGAAGGTAAATAATAATAACTTACTGACTGAGAGTGAGGGTAGTACGGAAAAATATCAAACCGAGGTCTTGCTGTATTGAGCGAGTGATAGCGAGGTAAGGGGTGGACCATTAGATATCCTGGGAGAGGGGAAAGAAAATTTTCCCTGCAAGAATTTTTTTTGAGTTCGAAGCTTTGTTGGAATTTTTTCGGAGTAGAAGCTGTGCAGGAATATTTTTGAAAGGCTTAGCGCTTTATCTAGCTTTTCCTCTGTCTACCGATAGAGAAAAATGGCGGCAAAATAGCCCAGCAACTATATTGGCACGAAATTTCCGTATTGAGAAATCATATGAAAGTTAAATATATTACAAAAATACGTACCATAGAAGGTGTCAGTTTCATAGGTATCATGCAAGCATAAAAAACAAGAAATACTTGAACATTCTTTCTTGTGCGGAAATTAGTTAATTCGCCAACAGTGAATATATTATTTTTTTATTCAATCTCACATTTCAAAAAAATAGGTACGCTGTAGAGTACATGGCGTCTACTGGATCAAAAAACAAAGAATGTCAATGCCGTCCGGTTTATATTTACATTTCCGACTTTGGAGTGGGGAATATTAAAATATCTCGGCAAGTATTTACCCGCCCTTTAAAACGAAAACCACCGTTGAAATCCTCATAAAATAACCTTCCGAACGGTGGGTCAAATGCCGTCATAACATTACACCTTCTGAACTCTTCAGACTAAGTCAATAGGAGTGAAATATCCCTTGTCAGGGTTCGTAGTCTCCAAGACCAAAAAATTTCAAAGACTTTCAAAGAGTTTTGCTGCCTATTTTCAAAGACTTTTCAAACAATCTATTTTATTAGCTAGGAAATCGTATAATCAAACACTCACTAAAGAATTCAAAGACTTTTAAAGACTTTCTTCGCTTTTTCACACAATTCAAAGACTTTTCAAACACCTTAAAGACCTGAGTTCAAATTTAAAGACTTTCAAGAATTTCAAAGACCGCTACGAACCCAAGCAGGGTTCTCCAACCGCAGGGAACCCAAGCGCTTTCGTATAGAAAGTTTCGTTTGAATACGGCGGACTAGAAACATTTATTTTGAATTTTTCAGAATATCGGGTTGTTACTCGCACGCGCGTGCCACACGCTAAAATTGGCCAATAATGAACACCCATAGCCCGATGCACGTGCAAATCACGCTACATGAAGGGGCAATTTGACCTTTAAAATTTCCGACGTTTCCCGAGTGCCAGGATGTAAACATCGCATTGTTTTAATATGTCAAGCTGTATTTCCGGTCGAGGCTCTCGCAAAAAATTTAGATATTCTGAAATACCGAAATAAAAGTTGCAAATCTGTAGATACAAACTTGAAAATAACACTCTAAATAGTGTCTTGGATTGTGATTCGAACAAGAATATTGCGAAAAAGATAGGTTGAGAGAGGCCAAAGTTATATTCGGCCTACCCTATAGCAGTTACTTTATGACCGGTCCCTTAGCATTCCGGTACGTTCAATGTGTGTCGCGAATTAGCGACAAACTGTTAAACTTTACTGAAAACAATAATAGTCTAGTGACATCATTAGATCAGTAGTTCGCGCCTAAACTATAAATTATGCTAAATTATGCGAACCTCGAGGAAAGAAACATTGTCGTTTTATATTGTTGATCAGACTACATTGTATTAAAGACATTTCGCTTCGTTCTATATCGATAACTCACAACCTTAACGTGTTATCCTTTTGTATAACTAAATCATTACATTGTTTAAACTGTGTTGTGATTTGTGTCCATCCTTTTACCGTAAGAACCTCCGCAAAGAGTTCTCGATTTGTGAGAGTCAATATTACAATAATCAATTCGAGACATTGGTGCCAAATGGTGACATCCTGAGCAAACTGCCTATTGCTGTGAAACACAACCTAGTACGCGAACGTGGAACCATGGATTGGTCTTTAGAACAATTGCGCAAGGACGTTTCAAAAGAACTTCAAATTTTAGAGGCAGGGGTAGACACAACTAAACTAACTCAATCAAGTCAATCACTCCACATGCTCCCTTCCACCTAGGCTCAGATTCCAGCCGTTGTGTTCTCGCCACTCGCCTACCTTCCACCTCGAGCTTACTAATAAACACAAGTACTGAGAAGGGCCCTGGGGGATATTCAGCTAAATCAAATCGCCAAGCGTCACCATACCCTACCAAACCGAAACCGTGTGTTTTCTGCAAAGGCACCCACAAACCGAACTATTGCACTGTAGTAACTGACCCTACCAAACGTAAACAAATTATCTTCCAAGCCAACCTGTGTTTCAATTGCCTCACGAATCATCCACTCGAAAAACCTAACTCGGATTCCAAGGCGCCTGAAAATGCAAGCTTACAATGCACATGTACCAGTGGTGCCACTAACAATGCAAATAACTTGAGTCACGAGACACATGAACATAATACACCAATATCGAACATGCATACCAACATGTCAGAAAACCAGTACACACACAAATATACCCTGTTGAAAACCGCAGTGGCCACTGTAAAAACGCAACACAGAACCACAACCGCAAATATCCTTTTCGACGAAGGTGCTCAGCGTTCATTTATAACCGAAGAGCTCGCACAGAAACTTGACCTTGTTCCTGTCAAGACTGAATGAAATCCTGCACCTATCAGTGTTCGGTGGTTCTGAAACAGCTACTAAGAAAGTTGATGTCGCAACTGTGTATTTGCAAGCAGACAACAGTGAAACCTTTCCTATCCAAGTTATTATCATCTCAGTAATTGCTGTACCACAACAAAATCACATGACTGCCGACATTCCTCAAAGATCTCAAGCTCGCCCATTCCGTAACAAGTGATAGTCAGTTTACCATCTCTATTCTCATCGGTGCAGACCACTACTGGGACGTTGTCCAAGACAAGATAATTCGAGGGGCTGGGCCTACTGCAGCCAAGTCGAAAATTGGTTACCTCCTATCCGGACCAACTACGATCCATACACCGACGTTAGAGCTCAACGCTATGATCCTCAGCGCGATAGTCGCCACAGAGCAAGATGAACTTGCTTTAGAGCGGTTTTGGAACTTAGAATCGATAGGCATAATGTCGAATGAAACCGAAGATGAAGATAGAGTTTGTCAAAAGGTACCAAGAGTCTTCAATTCTTTTAAAACATGGTCGTTTCAGCGCTAAACTACCGTGGAAACCTAGTCACCCGCCACTTCCCACAAACAAAGCAATAGCAAGAGGACACACTCGCTCTACCGTACGACGTCTAGCCTCCGACCCAGAAAAACTGAGAATGTACGCCCACATCATCGCCGAACAAGAACAATGCGGATTTATCGAGAAAGTAACTAATCTGGATACTATCAAGGACAAATGCCATTACCTTCCACACCATGCAATTTTGAAAGACTCCTCTACAACCCCGCTCCGTGTTGTTTTCGATTGCAGTTGAAAACCGAATAATCGTCAACCAAGTCTCAATAACTGCCTTACAACCGGTCCAACCCTCTTAAACGACCTAACAGCAATTCTCCTTCGATTCCGCCGCTACAAGTACGCTGTGACTGCAGACATAGAGAAGGCATTCCTCCATATCGGTTTAGATGAAGAAGATCGAGATGCCATGCGATTTTTCTGGCTATCTGACCCAGAAGACCCTGAAAGCCAATTCGAAGTCTATCGCTTTAAGTCTGTCTTATTTGGCGCTTCATGCTCACCCTTTATCCTAAATGCAACCATCCGAAAGCACCTCGACAGCATTGACCATCCAGTTGCAGAGAATATGAAGAATGATATTTATGTTGACAACCTAGGCTCTGGCACGGACAATGAAGACGAAACATCAGCTTTCCTTCAAACGACAAGATCCATAATGTCACCGGTCGGCTTCAACCTGAGATAATTCGAATTGTTCAAAGCTTCGTGAATCAGCTTCAGATCAAGGTCTTCAAGACAAGGATCCAGTTACGAAAGTACTCGGTCTCCGATGGAATCCCAACAACGATATGCTCATGTTTCAACAAAGCCAAACAGTCAACACCACCACCAGTAACATCACCAAAAGAGAAATTCTCCGGGAATCTTCAAAGATCTACGACCCACTTGGCTTACTCACTCCAGTAACCATTCGTGCTAAGATCCTTTGACAAGAATTATAGAAGAACAACTTTAGCTGGGACGAGCCTCTGCCACCCGAAATCCAAAAGAAATGGTTAACACTCTCCAAGGATTTGGAAACTGCAACTCAAACTCATTTCCCACGCCGATATTTCCCATCTTCATCAACTTGGCCTTCCAACACAACCCTCCACATATTTGTTGATGCGAGCATCAAGGCCTACGGCGCAGTGGCGTATGTCTCTAATGGAACCAACACTTCCCTGGTGATGGCCAAATCCAGAGTTGCCCCTGTCAAGACACTCACTTTACCTCAGCTCGAGTTGATGGCAGCCGTGATTGGCGCAAGATTGTATTCGTATCTTCAACCGAATATCCAACCATCCGCCGTTTATTTCTGGTCAGACAGCCAGATAGTACTCCATTGGCTATCATCCAATCGTGACCTGAAGCGATTTGTTTCAAACCGTGTGAAAGAAATCCAGTCTGCAACGAAAACCACCTCTTGACGTTATTGTTCAACAGCTGAAAAGGGGTATGCAAGCTAGTGACCTATCCGTATCGACCATGTGGCGTCAAGGTCCCCCATGGCTAAACACACCTGCCAATTGGCCAACCTGGAATGCCAAGTCTGCCATTCTCACAATGTGGAAATATTTTGAATTTTAATGAAAATTGCGCACTGACAAAAATAATCCTTTAGCTGGCTTTATTTTCTTTGTTTTTCATTCCAGAAGTGTTCCATATCAAATAATAGACATAATTGCTATATAAGTTAGGGCTGCTCGAAAGTTGAGCTGAGGCTACAAACCAGCTTAGTCTGAAGCTCCCCAAGTAATCGAAACAAATGATTCACAACGGTTGATTACGTAATCAACCTTTTAATATCCTAACAGTCTAAAATTTATGTTTAAGAACACTGAATAATTATTCTGTATTTCTATGTTATATTAAAAACACTGAATAATAATTCTGTATTTCTATGTTTTGTGCCAAGGTTATACTTATTGGACCTGCGACAGTCGCTGCCACCGTATTTGACCACGGTAATGGTAGCTACGAAGCTATCGCCTTGATAGTTGATCCAGGGAAATATTTGCTCATGGCTATCGTAGAAAGAAGTCTATGTGAAGGAATGAAAGATCCTACACCAGAGTTCTATACCCAACGTAAGTATAGTAAAGTGTTCGTTCAATCGAATACATTCATTATTGTAAACACATTTTAGTTATAGGAATGCCATAGCGTCTAAATTAACGATATGGTTTTCGAGTTAGATACTAGTCGTATTTTTTATGGCATAGAACCCGCGGGGGAGCAATGTGTTAAAAGGCCTGATCAAACGAGAACACAAGTCATCGCAAGTGAACTTGCACCTGCTTGCCATGACTTACGATGCAACTTATCGAACGATGCGCAAGTTATCGCAACGATTTGCAAGGTGTTTGGCCCGTGTGCGGGTAATTCTGTAATTTCGCAAAGTTGCAAAATGCAATCGAAACATGACCGCCATTTAAAGCCATTGAATTAATAATTAAAAATTTCAAATATGTAAAAAGCTTGTGATATGCCATCTGAAACAAAGCGTAAAGCTGTCATGCAGCATCATGCTTATTATCTCTTCTTGATGAAGACGAAACGACTCGGAAACACGGAAAACAAGAGAAATGGATTAAGCGAAGACCGGAAAAAGATAATTTTAAAAACATCGTAAGAGAGTTGCGTATGGAAGATACAGGGACTACAAGCCTACAAGGAAATGATGCGAATGACTTACAAACAGTTCATAGAAATTCCTATGGATGTAGAACCCGAATAGCAAAAAAGCAAATACAAGGCTGGCATAAGTACTGCTGGTGAATCAATCATAATCACTTCACTTTCAATTCCGTATTGGTAATAAAATCAACTATTTCGTACATTGTTCGTGAAGTATGCCAAGCGGTATATTAAAAAAGTGAAAAAAGTATCTTTCAACACCGAGAGTAGTGTTGGAAATGGAAAGAGATTGCAACTAAGTTTGTTAACAGATGGCAGTTTCGAAACGGCATGCAGCCATTGATGGAAAAGCATTTGGTTATGCAACCACGAACTGGGTCTGGCTCTCACTATATTTCAACCACAAACACACACACTGACACACATTCTATTGTCCTCATGGCCATTGCAGGATCTGATGATGCATGAATGTCTATGTGGGTAATAATGGGAGAATTTCAGATGGAGGTATGTGGGACAAGTAATTCTTGACATATATTGAAGGTGACAAGATGGAAATCCCAAAACCTGCATGCCTTCCACTTGAAAAAGAGGCAGTATACCATATCTTCTGGTTGGAGATGAAGCATTCGCACTGAAACCATTTCTCATATTATTTTGAATCGATAGGATTAATTCCTCCGAGTTACAGCGTCTTGAAAAATAAAAGTGCTGATGCCAGCATTATTTTCGAACACCTTCAGAAACTGTGTTATACACAACATTTATTTAAAAATTCTTGGTTAAGATTAAGACGGGACTGCTTACCTGATATAAACAAGAATCTAAACATTTTGGCCCAAACTCGCCTCTATTTTAGCATTTGATTTTTGGATAAGTGCTTGGTGGTATAAAATGGCCATTTTACATTCAATAGTATATTAATCATAGAAGCCTCGATTAAATATTCTGGGTTAAATATTATAGATTAAATATTAAGATTAAATATAAAGATTAAATATTAAGTACGTTGCTTCGAACAATGAAATAATTGGATGATCGATCTTGCCCTCCTAATATCAGTTTAATCTAAATCACGGGCGTGATCCGCGAAAGCTTGCTTTACATGGTTCTGTCGGGAACTGGGACACGTTAACATTAAAATTATATAGATATTTAGCCAGAACATTTAGTTAGGTCAAAACAAGGACCATATAGGGAAATTATGCCCATATACGAGACATGATATAGATTAGTGAAGTGTGTGTAAACAAAGAGAGAGCGAACCGTGCGAATACGAACATTCTAGTGAGACTTAGTAATAGTATAAAGTGTGGAAAACCAATATTTGTGCGTGGTTCATCCCTGGGATGCGGGATATTTACGTTACCTGGCACCACGGACGAAAATTAAGCGAATTAATTTGGATTTACGCGTATATTCTACCATGACTGAACCGGCTAATCTCGATGTGAAATTGACCCAGTTAAAGCTCGCCGTGACTAAAACTGGTAAAATCTTGGACAAAAATAACAAAGAAGCTATCGAACGTCATCTTACGGCCCTCAAACGATATCAAGTGAAGCTGAACTACACAAACGCGCTGTTGAAGCGGTTAAAATCGGAGCCGAAAAAGTCGAACTCGAAGAGATTGCGAAATGGAGTTCTACAGTCGACGAAGAGCTCGAGTCTGCCGACGTCGAAGTCGCTCGGTTGGGAGAAAAAAAACGCGAGAAAAAGAAGTCGCCGAAAAGGAAGAAAGGTGTCAATATGAAGTAAAATTACAGCAGATGAAAATAGATTCACAATCTGTACAAGCGAAAAAATATGACAAAAATTCTCCTTTCCGAAGTTCAAAAAAGGACTGGCGCCGAATTCATCCCCTATGGAATTATGGGGCTGAATTTGGGACGCGGAAAAAAATAATTACAAACAAAAATAGTTTATATGGGAAAATTCAGCTGTAGTGTGCCAAATTGTGCCAATAGCTGGCGAAATTCTCCAGAACTGAAGTTTCACTCTCTTCCACGAGACCCTAAAGTATTTTCTGTGTACAAGAGACTAATAAGAAGCAATAATCTCAAAGAGTTTTCAGTTACCGGTAGTACTAAGATATGTGGCAAGAATTTTCCCAAAGGAGAAAGGGTATGCCGAACTCAACTACCAACTATTTTTCCCTGGGCCAAACCTGTGAAACGACGCCGTGAAATTATTAAATATAATTTGCCGTCGAGATCCAAAACAATCAAGGATAATTCTTTGACCGCACTGCCAAAGGATCAAGTAGTCTTATTTACAGATAACACAATTTTGTCTGAACTCAATCTCAATGACAGTTATAAAGTTTGTTCGTTCACTGCAACCAGGTATATCAATCATGTTTCGCTCGCTACTCTGGTTTAAATAAATGATTACAAAGCGCATTCGAATTGTAATCAAGACCCAACGTTTCGACACTCCAGTCTAGTGTCTTCATCAGGGGTGATCTAAACTGTGATCGTGGCTTCTTAAATACCCAAGGGATGACGTCACCTGCCAAGAAGATGCATACATTCCTCTGGCAAATAGGCACCGTCATCCCTATTCAAAGCATGATGACTCATATTTATATGCCACGCTTCAAGGCAAAGTCTTTGACCATCGCTATATATGGTCAAAGACTTTGCCTAGAAGCGTGGCATATAAATATGAGTCATCATGCTTTGAATAGGGATGACGGTGCCTATTTGCCAGAGGAATATATGCATCTTCTTGGCAGGTGATTGCAATCGTAGAATACGGATAAAACGTCCAACATTGTTTGGAGGAGGGGGGGCGGAGGGGGGGGGGGGCAAACGAGTAAATTATTCCGGTCTAAAAGGTAAAAAAAGCCACAAAGGAATGTTTTACTGAATAGAGTGTCGCAGATGGTTTTGTCCAGGATTGTCTGTATCTTTCAAATTCGATAACCAAGGCATTGCGCATTAAAAATCGAGTTTTACGCAGGATTTTCTCTTTCCATAGTAAATATGGTTCACTAGAATGTATAAGGCTTCAAGAAGCAGATACCACATGGTCGACAAGGTAATATAGCACCCACATGCAACGCTACGCTTCGATAGCTTGTATAGAATGCGATTAAGATTCATATGCGACGACTTTCGCGCATTTAATATACGTCGGAGAGCAAGTCAATGTACTTAGTAGTGTATATACCAACTATTTTGCACTAAGACTATTCTAAAATACGTTAATTCATATTTATTTGTGTTGTTAGACAGACAAACGCTTATAGTTGTTGACTGGAAATATATTGCGTGACCGCCGCGCTAAATGACTAATCCGATTTTGTTATTGGCGTATAATAGCGCATGCGCATTTACGGTGTACCATGGTACATATATATAGGATTAGTCATTTAGCGCGGCGGTCACGCAATATATTTCCAGTCAACAACTATAAGCGTTTGTCTGTCTAACAACACAAATAAATATGAATTAACGTATTTTAGAATAGTCTTAGTGCAAAATAGTTGGTATATACACTACTAAGTACATTGATTTGCTCTCCGACGTATATTAAATGCGCGAAAGTCGTCGCATATAAATCTTAATCGCATTCTATACAAGCTATCGAAGCGTAGCGTTGCACAGCGTACGATCATCAGGCGATTGATGTTAATTATCTCGCAATAAATTACAACGGTTTACGCTGACGCGCTTAGATTGCTGACGCAAGCATTTAAACGATTGTGTTTACTTGCGCGCGCGCGTTTGAAATTAGAAGCTTTATAACTGTTCCTATGCCTACACTTGCTAAACAATTCAGATCTTATATTCAATGTAGTGTTTCACGTACAGCGTACGATCATCAGGCAATTGATGTTAATTATCTCGCAATAAATTACAACGGTTTACGCTGACGCGCTTAGATTGCTGACGCAAGCATTTAAACGATTGTGTTTACTTGCGCGCGCGCGTTTGAAATTAGAAGCTTTATAACTGTTCCTATGCCTACACTTGCTAAACAATTCAGATCTTATATTCAATGTATTAATGATTATGTTATCGGACAAAATTAATACATTGAATATAAGATCTGAATTGTTTAGCAAGTGTAGGCATAGGAACAGTTATAAAGCTTCTAATTTCAAACGCGCGCGCGCAAGTAAACACAATCGTTTAAGGTTACAGAACACCTTTGAGTGTTAATTTTGCCTAAAACTTTTTTATTCGTTTCAATGAAAGCATTAGACTAGTTCTACTATCTGACCAAGTTTGAACGAAAAATGTTGAAAACTCGCAGAGTTATTTAATAAAATACATTTCGCTGCTATAAGAAAAACATTGAAAATGTAATATTCAAATTCAATTTTCTCACGAAACATTTTACGGTAATTACTGATTTTCAAACGAGTTGTGCTCCTGCGGATTTTAACCAATTTTTCTCAAATTTTCACAGGACATAGCTAAATACGTCAGTTTCAAAATTGTGTTCGGCTTTTTTTTAATTTTGGATATTTTAAAAATAAAGAGCAATTCACTCAAACAATTCAGAAATATATTGCAGTCGTCAAAGAAATCGCCATATCAGCGGAATGACGAAATAAACAAAAATTTCCGGACACAATTTTTTAGAACAACTATTGTACTGTATAAAAATGATATTTTCATAAATATAACTTAAAACCAGCAGGAGCACAACTCAAAAGCGTAAAGGTACCGCGATTTAAGATTTTCCTGAATAATTCTTACATTATTTTATTGCTTGTTAATTTTACAACTTTACCATATTTTGCATGCACTGGAGAACATTTGGTGAAAATTTGATGAAAATCGGACTGATATTGAGCGCGCAGTAGCGATTTTCCGCAAAACGCCAAAAAGGGTGTCCTGTAACCTTAAATGCTTGCGTCAGCAATCTAAGCGCGTCAGCGTAAACCGTTGTAATTTATTGCGAGATAATTAACATCAATCGCCTGATGATCGTACGCTGTACGTGAAACACTGTGTAGCGATGAAATAAAATTTTAAGATTGAAATTTGTTGTTTATGTCTTTATATATATATATATATATATATATATATATATATATATATATATATATATATATATATATATATATATATATATATATATATATATATATATATATATATATATATATATATATATATATATATAACCTTTTGTAGGGTTAAAATGGTACACCGTGGAATATTTTAAAATTATCGCGCTAAATATTGCCTGAAGTAGGTTGGAATACTAAGCAACACACGTCAAGTCCATTTCATTGGTTTGTATTACCCCCATAACTGGGAATATTATCACATTCTTAGTGCATTGGATGTGGTACACCGTTAATTGTGACACTGAAAAATTGAGCATTGATTTACCACACCTGGAAAACTCGTTTCAAAATGCATAATTCACATTTATATAGTTGTCACTTAATATTCTAAGTATATGCAGTGAATATACCAGAAACGTAACTATATTGAATTTATTGTCCCTTGGTGTTCTACTGGATATCACACGCATTCGTTTATGTATAGACTTAATGTATAACATATAGATGATAAGTAGGTCGTAAGCAATGCGCATAAACGAAATACATGGCAAGGACATGTTTAAAGAGCGAAATATAAAAGAATTTAATTTCGACTCATTTCAGACAATCCTGGACAAAACATCTGCAACACTTCGAATTACTTGTCAAAATGTCGTAATATTATCGTAAATTTAGAAAACCTCCCCCTTTCCCCCCACCATTCAATGTTGATTGCATTCGTAGAATACGGATGTAGTTTCCATTATAGACTGCACAGATTAGATTGTAGTTTCCATTATAGACTGCACAGAGATCAGAATGGAATCCCCATCAAGTCTTGACAAGCAGTCTGTGTGTTATTCAAGTTATTAAGGCTCACACAACAATGAAAGCACTTGTCGGGATAACTCCAAATGGTGTTGTATCATTTGCTAGTGAACTGTACTGCGGATCGATAAGTGATCCAGATATTGTTGAGAAGTCAGGATTTTTGAGTCATATGCAAAAAGGAAATCTAGTAATGGCAGACAAGGGGTTCTTAATCCAGGACCAGCTGGCTGCTCATGGTGCCAGTTTAGTCATGCCTTACTTCTTAAGTGACAAGTGCCAATTTACAAAGAAAGAAACTGAACATAACAAGAAAGTGGCCAGTTTGCGAATACATGTTGAACGTAAAAAGAACGCTTGAAGAATTGGCATTATTTTGATCGAGTCATACCTATTACTACTTTCAGTATTGCGTCTGATGCATGGATAGTTATTGCATGCATGTCAAACTTTTTTTTGGCCTCCAATGATTACATAAAAGGGAATAAAATGACATTTTGTGGTTAACCAGTCTCTTAGGAGTAATATGCATAATATATAGATCTCCTCAGCTTGGTATGCAAATTACCCATTTTGATGTTTATATTTACACTTTTGAGACTGAGATGTACTATTTTCATTGCATTGTCATTCTAATGAGAGTGCATTATTTCAAAGCCAAATATCCTTAAAATGAAAAGACAGCATCTTTCAAAAGTGTAAACAAAAGCTGATGAAGGTTTTTGTTAAAATTTGCAAAAGTATGCAAATTGTACATACTGACCCAGGTTGAAGATCTTGGCAAGACATTGATCTTGGCAAGATATTAGCAAGATCTTGCCGAGCCAAAATCTTGACAAGATTTTCTGAAATGCTTTGAGGGTTTTTGGTATGATCTTTCAGGATCATGGCAAGATCTTTCAGAATCATGGCAAGATCTTGCAGGAATTTTTAAAGATCTTGCAAGATCTTTCCATGTTCTTTGCAGGATTTATGTAAGATCTTGGCACACATACCATGTTTGCAATTTTTATTTGCTCAGTTGGAAAAGGTATGACCTTATTCCAGCGTGGTTCATTATAAAGTACCCTGGGGTACACTAACTCTGGGAAAATATTAGTGAAATAGAATGTCTCAAGTTGTGTTACCACATTGTTCCAAAAAGTATGATTAAATTCAACTAGTTCTGAGTGCAGCCAGATACCATTTGCCCCAACAAAATGACAAGCCATGTAATTACTACAAAAAAGTTGTTGCTGAATTTGATGATAGTACTTATGTTTATTGTTTATTTCAATGTTGGTTCCATTCTTCTTATAGATCCCTAATCTACATAGGGTGACCTCCATTCATTCACCTTCTTTAGAAGTTACATATTTCACTTCAATCAAATTTGCTTTTTCTGTGATTCCATCAGGGCTGGCACCTAGGTAGGGGTGACTTTCAGATATAAAGAACCCACACTTTCTCACAGTGTTTCCTGACTAAACCGCTCGATAATCGTTGGTTCCATCTCAATCCCCTCCTTCATGTGACATGTTTGTACCCTGGGTTTGTACATAAGTATTTCAGATATTGCCTTTGTTGGGCTTGTGTTTTCTTTTAAAAGATATCTTTTTCCCTGTGATGCTGTTATTCTTGACTTACGCACATTATACCATAGCATGGAATTATGTTGGTCCCTGGTTTTACTCTCAATTTTCTCACAATTGTTTACTGAATCAAACAAGCGTTTTTTGACTCGCTCAGCCTTAGCAGAAATCTCATTCAGTGACATTGGATTTGACTTGTCTGGTGAAGTTAATTTCCACAGATATTCATCAGGGTTCAGGTTTTCTAAAACATCCTGTGGCTCAGTTGCATCAGCAGAATTATTAGTACCTTGTGGAAGATCATGTTGTAATATTAAACTTAAACCCATCATCTTACCAGTTTTTTCTTCAACCTCTTTCACTTTGTTATAAAAAACGTTCAGGTCACAACTTGCAGTACTTCTTTGGTGGGGTGCTCGAACATCGCAATATTCCTTTGCAAAATGTTTGGTTACCTTGCCATACTCATGTTTCTGAAATTTCACAGACTGCATTGATTGTGGTACTAGCTTGCGTTTTCCTGCAGGAACATTCCATGTGCAAGGCTTTGATGTGCAAGGTATATATGTTTTCTGGTGTTTTGCTAATTGTCTTATCAGCTACCATACCACTATCCATACTGGATTTGTCTTCTAATGAGAACAAAGTTGCAGCAAGGTGATTACAGCGACCATCAACCCTAGCTGGACAGCAACAAAATGCATTGGAAATATTGCCATTTGAACAAAGAATAATCTTTACTGTGTAGACTTTTCCCTTTTTCATTGATGGATTTACTTTGCTTAAAACATAATGTTTGTTGTGTTCTTTTTTGAGAAAATCTGTAGCACATGGTCAGATTTTAGTGTAAAAATTCTATCCCTTAACAATAGGCTTTTCTGTGGACAACTGCTTTTTTAGTTCGACATCTTCTATCAAGTACTTCCAAATGTTGCGGTTAGATGCCCTTGGGAGATTGGTTGTTCCACACTCAAACCCAGTGGAACTGTGGAAGGGAAATTTTCATTCACTTCAGGGTGTAATTCTTCAGCAAAGCCAAACTCTAGTCTTTTCTTTGCCAAATTTACACCACCATCTGGATCCACTACCTTTTTGTCCAGTCCATTTTTAATGTAATCATTGACCCTGTTTTTGAAAAAAAAAACAGGATTTATATAAAGCTTATGAAAAGTTGAAGTCCAAACAGCTTCAGAGAATTTAAGTCACCTGTCATATAGCTTCAAAATAGTCTCTTATAAAAAGCAATTCTTGTACAATTTTACATTTATTTGAAAGCAAAAAACCTCCTATTTTGCCTGATTATTGCTTTTGAACAAGGCTTCTCACTCGTGCAAACAAATAAAACTTGTCACGCCGATCAAAGAAAACTTGAAACTACAATTGAATTGAGTATATTATATAAAATGTTTAAAATTGAACAAACCTTTTCACTAAATCCTCTCGCTTCCCCGTGACTTTTGCGCCACGACATGACAACCACCCCCTCAAAACCGCAACTGTACATTGTTCCACCGGTTTTTGAAGTTTTGCACCAGGTATGTCCCCTTCTTCAAGTACTAAATCGTCCGAATTTGACTCCAATAAGTCCATATTTTTTTACTATAAACAACTAATTAAAATATGTAATTTTTTCCAGCGTCCCAAATTCAGCCCCATAACTCCGTAGGGGACGAATTCGGCACCAGTCTTCTTTTCAACTTCGGAAAGGGGAATGGGGAGAATGCGAAATCTGAGACAGGAACTATTCAGGCAAACTCCCTAAAATTGAAATGTTTAATGGTTCTCCGCTCGACTGGCCACGCTTTTGGAATCAGTTTTCGGAAACTATGGCGTCGGTGAACAAATTGGCTTACCTATCTGGATACCTTGACCCTAAAGTGAAACCAACAATCGAAGGGTTGCCACTTACCCCGAAGGGCTATAATATATAATAGAGCCAAATCAATCCTTGCTGATCAATATGGCAAGGATTCAGAAGTCGAGAAAGCGCATCTAAAGGTGATTTATGGACTTACGGACCATAACTAGCTGTAATCCAAAGAAAATACATGATTTCAGACTTTCAGTGATAGATTAACTCACGCCGTTCATGCCCTTGAAGAAATTAGAAACTGTCAACGGATATGTCGCAGTGACCTTGGATAAACTCTCGGATATCCGTGGTGAGACCCAGACTGGGAATCCTGGGACTTCGCAAAATTATCAGAGGCTGTACCGGTCATGTACACGACGAAATCGGTGTAGTGAGTATAAAGAGGATGATCCGCAACTAGGAAGAAGAGATATGAAATCGAGGAAACTCATGCATTCCAAGGGATTTACTGGAAAGCAACGAGGATGTGCGTATTGTGACGGTACCCACAAGGCAAACGAATCTGACAAAGTGACAGATGTCTCTACTCGGAAGCAAATCCTTGCGGAATGGAAGGAAGCAGCCACCGCCATCCTCGAAGATGCGACATTTAAACTTTACAAGTGGGCATCAAATGAAAGCGCTATTGAAGATATATAAATCGGACTCGAACATTGATCACAAGGGGCAAACTGCAGCGAAGATGAACTTAGGTGTAGCACCTCATGAGTCCAAGATTCTCGGGTTGCCTTGGAACAAACGGGATGACACTCTAAGTGTTCAGATGGCCAACAACGCAAGTAAGGAACCTACGTAGCGGGAAACGCTGAGACAGCTGGCGAAGATTTACGATCATTTAGGAATAGCGTCGCCAATAACACTGCAGGGGAAGATCATGTATCGGGATATATGTGACGCGAAGCTTTCCTGGGATTTTGAGCTCAACGGGACACTCAGAAACCGGCGTCATTGTGGGAACAGGCACTTCCTGCAGTGGTGACAGTTCCAAGGCCAATAGCTACGGACATCCATCTTCACGGTTTCGGTGATGCGAGCAAGCAGGGGGTCTGCGCCTCAGTATAGCGCACTGACCAAACAAGATTCCGGCGACACCCAGATGTTGGTGGCAGCCAAGTCACGTCTAGCCAAGAGGGGTCTCATCATACCACGTTTGGAACTAGTAGCTGGCCATATGGCAGCCAATCTCATCACCAACGTTACCAAGGCAAGGTAAAAAGAAAGTTACGCAACAGCATTGTTGGCTTGACAGTACAGTCGCCCTCTACCGGATAGAGGGTGCCGGAGAGTACTGCCAATTTGCTGCCAATCGTGTGGCAAAAATACAAGCTCATTCTGATATTAAGTGGCACCACGTTCCTACAGAAGAGAACCCCGCCGATCTGGGCAGCAGAGGAGGACAGCTGACACAATTGTGGTTACACGGACCGGCGTGGCTCGGCGACGAAGCAAAGTGGCCAGCAGAGATACTTGTTCAGACATCTCCAGAATCGCTAGCAGAAGCCAAAGAAACACGAGAAGTGCTCGCAGTTGCAGAACCTGAACAAGACTGTCACACACGTCTCCTAGAGAAATACAGCTGACAGAAAACTTTGAGAATTCGCGCCTGGGTGAAGAGATTCGTTCATAATATCAGGAGCAAGCCCGCAGAAAGAAAACAAGGCCCACTTCGATATGAAGAGTGCCTCAAAGAAGAGATGTGGTGGGTGGAAAAGGTTCTGAAGTCGGTGACATCAGCAGAACGCGAAAGAAGCCAAGGTCTTAACCTCCAAGAGAACGAGAACGGGCTGTTAGAGTGCCGGGCCGCATTGTTGGACATTACCCTCTGTACTTTCCTAACAGCGAACTGTTTTCGAAGAAGTTAGTTGAGCGCGAACACATTGCTACTTTGCATGGGGGAACATCCCTTACGATGACCAAAGTACGACAGCGTTACTGGATCCCCAGATTGCGTAACCTGGTGAAACGGGTCCGAAGGAACTGTTGGGGATGTAGGCGAAACCTTGCCAAAACTGTATGTAGATCCACCTCCTGGTGCGCTTCCAACGACCAGAACAACAGGGGACACCCTTTACCACACATTGCTACTTTGCATGGGGGAACATCCCTTACGATGACCAAAGTACGACAGCGTTACTGAATCCCCGGATTGCGTAGCCTGGTGAAACGGGTCCGAAAGGACTGTTGGGGATGTAGGCGAAACCTTGCCAAACCGTATGCAGATCCATCACCTTGTGCGCTTCCAACGACCAGAACAACAGGGGACAACCCTTACTCCGTAGTAGGGATTGATTTCGCGGGTTCTATTCGCTATCGGTCCAGCAAGAAGCAAGGAAAAGCGTACTTAGCTCTTTTCGCATGCGGTCTGACGAGAGGAGTGCACCTGGAGCTTGTCAAATGTCTTAAAACAGAAGAATTTCTGAAGAGCTTCAAATTATTTGTAGCTCATCGAGGGAGACCAACGCCAGTGTACTCCAACAAT